GCGGTGCAGCCCGCGATCGGCCTCGGGAGGAGAAAACGTCGACCCCGGGGGGGAACGGGGCGACCACGGAGAAGACGCCTCCAACGCCCACCCTGTATGTGCAGCTCCACGGAGAGACCACCCGGCGCCTGGAGGCGGACGAGAAGCCATTGCAGATCCAAAATGACTACCTCTTCCAACTGGGATTTGGGGAGTTGTGGAGGGTGCAGGAGGAAGGCATGGACTCGGAGATCGGCTGTCTCATCCGCTTCTATGCAGGTAAGGAAACCACCTGCTCTTTGACGTGTGGGAAGTAAGCACTTTCAGGTGCCGAGAGTCAGTGCGGGTCCTTGGGAGTCTGTACTTCTTTACAGCTTTCACGTACAACTTGTATAATACTACATGGGGCAATTTTGAAATCCGGGAGCAATCTTGAGGACTCTGAGGTCGAGAGGTGGCAGAGCCACCGCGAAGTACAGAGAGCAGACCCTCCTGAGAGAGGCAGTAGTACATCTAACAATGAAGGTGCTTCCTTGGGGCCTCTGCCCGTGGGCTTGTCGGGTTTGAGGCAGTTTGGGATTTCAGGTGAACTATCCCGTGCACATGATACCTGCAGAGGGAGATGACTATGAGAAACTCTCTCCCTCCACTTGATTGTTTGCAGCTTGCCATTCTAGCCCCGGAGCTGGTCCCCCGTCAGCCGGTGCCCTCCAGCTTGCTGTCAGCTCCTTTGCCCCTTAGTCTTCAATAGAACCTAACAGATGAGATCCTTTTCAGTGATACTTTTCTTCAGCGCTTTTTCAGTTTCCTCTGTAAGTTTGCTTCTTGCATCAAAAGTGGTTTTGGCTGTTTCTTTCCCTCATTTCTTACTTTTAGCCTTTATAGCAAGAACTGACCATTGCGGTGTGATTTGCATTAGGAATATAGGGATCACAATACGACTTTAAGTGATTACTCTCTCTTGAAATGGGATCTAAAATCCTCCTCATTATTTCTTTATTTCTAGATGAAAAGTCTTTAAATTTTTTTCTATTTATTGCAGCTTTATTGAGATATAAGTGATATATTAGATCGAATTCTTGACCAGGAGTGACTAATGTTTGTTCTTTTGGTTAAAGAGTTGGCTGGTACTTAATTAGAGAGCTCTAGATCCTGGTTATATTTGAGCTTAATAAGTTGTTTCGTATTCTTCCTCCTCTGGTTTGAAGAATCATGTTCTTAGTGATAAAGAATTTTGTTTAAAATAAAGTTAGCATAACAAAATTAAGTTAGGAGAGAGAAGTCTTTCCAAATTTACTATTCTAGGTTGTAGGTAGTGGTGGAAAAAATAATCACACTTGTGATTTCATTAATCTGTAGCCATTTTTTTCTAATTTAATATATTTTTGATCCAATTTGTGTCCTAGCAGGAGTTTAGTAAATTTAAATAAAGAAATCTTAATTCCCACATTGAAATATGCAAGACTGAAATATGCATCTCTGGTGAGATGTTCCTTTGTGTTTAATTGAGGTGTTTCTCAGACGAGTGAATTTCTGATGGATTTTTGCCTCATAAAGAAAACCATATCATAATATAGTAGCATTTGCAGTATCTGAAGATAATGTCCCAGTCTGACGACATGCCTTTAAAAGTTTATGGCCTAGAAAATAGGTGATTTCTCTTTTCATGTAGGAGTAACAACTATATCCTTTTTTCCTGTGGCTCATGTAATTTGTAAAATGCAGATGCATTAAATGGTAATCATACATGTAACGAGAATATTTTGTTAGTATGAGGATGATAAATATCCTTGTAACCAACCAGTTACATTGAAGGGAATATATATAAAGCGAGGGATATATTAAATAAGCAGTATTGGACATATTTTGTGTGGAAAGAGCTCTGCATTCTTTCTTTTCCTCATGAATGAATTGTTGATCATGATACATGTCCATGCGGAGGAGGGTTTTAGGTGTTAGTCATGACATTTAAATATTTGACTCACCTTGATTGTCTCTTCAAGTGTGTCTAAAATATTTTAAGTGGATGATTTTTTTTTAACTTACCTCAATATAAAGGTAACAAATTATCTGTCTGGTTAAATCTTACATTTCTGGTGTGCTCATTTTAATCTTTTTGTTCTTTATGAAAAGCAGTAATTGTCATAAATGCATATATACATCTGTGTTTATGCTCATAAAAAGAGCTAATAAAATGTGGAAGCCACCACACAGCATCCTGCCTATTCTTGAATGTGAAGCCAGTGTGCAGGTGTCCTAGAAGGAAGATGCTTGATTGTTATAAACATGTCTCATTGCTTATTTTATACGAAGTTGAGCTTATTTTAAGCCTAAATTGATATACCAAACATCTCTGTGTTGATATTCATTTGCCATAGAACAAAATTAAACATATAGTGAGTCCACTTGAACTTTTGCAAGGAAGTTTAGCTATTGATGAACAAAAGGGCCTAGTTATAAGGTGTTCTTAACTTATCATGGGAACATTGTCAGGACTTCACATGTAGCGGAGGTTTGCACCGAGCTGGAGGAGATTCCTGGAAATTACCCTTCTGCTGCAGTGGAATGTAGGACACCCAACAGGGAAGCATCACATTTTGGTAGTAATTCTTTTCCTTAATAATAAGAGAATTAACATTTGTTTTAGATGAAACCCTCTAAGAGGATGTTATGTATCACATTCATGTTTATAATTTTACAAATAAATTTATTGCTGCCTATGTTTTTGTTTATATGTGTAGTTGGAGTTAAGGCCTTTGAAGGCTTTTGAGTATTTACCTCTATTTAAATTGAGCTCATTACCTGCTATCTATCTAGCTTATCTAGTTTGTCAGCTGCTTTTTTTTTTTTCTTCAGAAGTTCTTGTCCAGCAGAGAACTTCATTCTCCTAAAGGTCACCTTTCAATTAAATTTTAGTATTTATGACCAGCTCAAGTTATTCTTAAAAGGTTTTGAAAGCCATTTGTGGTTGCTTTGAATATTTAAATATTTATTTACGAAAAGTAAAATGAAAGTCTTTAATGAGGTAGAAGGCATTGGACAAAAGGTACTATCTAATTACAGAGCTGTTGATGAAAACTTAGTTTGAAAATTGTTACTGCACCTCTCAAGTAACCATTCTCTTAGCTGATTTAAAATATGAAAAGAGTTAATCTGAAGTAACTTGTCTGAAGTGTTAAGTATTTTAGGTATATTAACATTTAATTTCCCTTTAAGAAAAACCATCTTAAATTTTATCTGAAAGAGAGTGATTTTAGGTTAAAAAATTTAAGAATTTAGGTTGCTGGATATAAGTTATGGATTTCAAAACATTAATGAGGTTTTGGACTCCCTGGAAGGTCTGAATCGCTGATCAAGGGCAGTATTAAACTATTTTGTTTAATATTTTTGACTCTCTTCTACTGCCTTTTAGATTTAGTTGTCTAGCTATTTCAGTTTACATGGTAACAGTGGGAAAGGATGTTGACAGAATGGAGAGCACACCCACTGTGCCTGGTGAACCTTGGACGAGATATTTATGTGTGTGACTTCTTGGGATTGCTCAGGAGAACAGACTTCTTCCCCTCTCATGTTTCTTCTCTTTTTCTCTTCTGGGAATGGTCAAACCTTACATAGTTTCCTACACGGAAACCAAGAAGGGGTGGTTCAGCATTAAGCTGTAATATTGACAAGCAGTCTCTTATTACTATAATTACAGCAGTATTGAGTAACGTGGTATGAACATGTGACACCAGTGTATGCTTAAGCAGTCCTTTTAAGAACAAAGGGTTTAACTTTAATTTTGGTTTTTTTTTAATATTTAAATAGTGTATTTGTTGTTTTTCATGTAAAGTGCATGCTATCTTGTCCTTCATACTGTGGTTTGATAAAGTCTATTAACATGTTGGGTTTATTGTCTTCAAAAATCTTAAAGGGCTTTCACATAAATTATCTCATTTGTCCTTTCAAAAACATTATTAGGGAGGAGTTGGTGTCAATCCTCTTTTCAGATGGAGAAACTGGTGCCTAAGAGTTTTGATTCTTGTGGTTTTTCAGTCCTTGGCAGAGCTGAAAAGAGAGTATGGATGTTCTGTTTTACAATTCATATCGCTTCCCTTGAATCGATGCTGAATTTCATTTACGGTTGAATTTTTCATTTGGTTCAAAGCATTCAGAAAATACGCTGCTTTTGTTGGTAATGAGGTGATATTATCCTCAAGTCCAAAGTGGAATTCTTTGTGAAATGTGGATGGTTCTGTTTTTATCATGCTGCCTTTAAAGACATAAAGAAGTAGGACTGGCAAATAAGTAGACAATACAGAAGGAGTACTGAAACGTGCTAAATATTCTCATTGCAAATAGCCATTTAAGTTGATATGGAACAAAGTTGATGTAACGATTCTTCTCATTATTCTCTTACTCAAACTGACTTCATTTGTTGACTCTTCACTGGGTCTAGAGCATTAACACTTTAGACAACTTTTGGGGGTGAAGGTATGGCATTTTAGTTCCCTTAAAACATAGGCTTACTTGTAAAGTATCAGAAATATTCCCCATAAAAGGTTTGTGGAAACTTTTCACTTTAAAGTAAATTTATTTGTACTTTAGTGATTAATACTGCTTTATTGCTGTTACTATGCTGTTCAGTTTTTATAATGCATATATCATAGAGCTAGAGAGTAAGCTATTCTCCCCAAATTTCATAGTTATTCCTAAAATGGTGTATTTTTTTTTAATGTTCATTGGCTCCTAAAATGGTGTATTTTTTTTTAATGTTCATTGGCATAATTGTAGGGAGAAGGGATGAATAAATGAGTTTGTAAAGTTTCTGGTTGAAAGTTTTATTTTTGTGTTGCTATAAGATTGTTAAATTAAGCAGCTTAAGTTAGATTGATTATCCAAAGATTCTTATTTTTTTTAAAGTATAAGATGTTTCTGTTGTTTTTTAATTCTCTTTCTTTTTAGAATGTTGAATTTGATTTATTGGTAACATAACATTCATTGATGTTGTGTATGATCCAGCTAGTATAATAGTTGGCATTTTAGCTTTAACATTTGTTAAACTGAATTTGTGGAATTTTGTTAAGCAGCTGGTGGTGTGTGCCCTGAATCTCCAGCCTTCCTTCCTCTTTGGGTCCCCAGGGGATGTGTTAAACACACATATGCACAGAAGCATTTCTCCCATGGCAGGAGATTTTAGATGTGCCACACACTATTAATATCTTCTATTTCACGTGAGTGAAACTCTGTGGATTTTGAGAGAGTTGGCTCTCAAAGTTTTCTTAGAGTTAATAGGAGTT